CTTAAATATCTCCTGATAGAACAGAGGCTCATGCTCAGTTCGGTATGTATTGCCACAGTTTTATTTTTCTTGGGAGAGTGCATGCATGTGATCAGCACAGGACCAATCGGCACTGTCCAGACAGAGGTCAGGAGTCCTGCATCCTCCTACAGAATGAAAATTCCTATAGGCTGTAACCAGAGCTATGCTGGACACTGATATATTCATTTCCATGTTCTGTGTACTGTGGAAGGCCAGATATAGTGAATGCAGAGTCCTGAGTTTAACACCCCTCATGGTGCACACAAGCCCTAGGACCTTTAGAGACTCAACACCCCCTGAGGGGATCACTAACTTGGATCTATATAGCACCCTGCCAGCAAGGTTACCAGATACTAAGTACCCTGGAGATTACTGCCTGTGGGATACAGTATCAAAAGGCTACCTTCAGGCCATCCCCGCTCCTGCATGCAGGGCCCAGGTACCACCCATGCTTGGCCCTAAGGCCATAGGGGCTGGATGAAGATGAAGCTTTTCCTTCAGTTGGCATTAATCCATTGGCCAGCACACCCCCTAACAGGGAAGGAAAAAAAAAAAAAAAAAAACAGATTGCACAAACACACCTATCATCTAAGGACACTAGCTATGATATCCTGTGATGTACAATTACATATTTTACCATTTTGATGCTTCTCAGAATGTGTAATGGCTGACTGCAAAGCTTTTGGAAGACGTTCAGTGTCTGTCCCAAAAGAGAAAGCCTTAGGACAGGATGAGCTCCTCATTAACATCCAATAAAGATGACAAGTTCCTTAACCTTTTGTTAGGACAGACCATGTTCAAATATAGTTGACAACTGGATAATGAAACTTACACAAAATGCAATCTTTATAAAACTGAGCTCTTAACATTCCCCCACCTGTGCTCCCTCCCCTCATACCAGGGTACTAGGTATAATCCTGCACTCTGACCTGCCCCAAATCCAATAGCTATCCAAATTATGTAGACTTCAACTCCATAACACCTGCACAATATGCCCCCTTTTAACCAATAAACCACCAATCAACTCATTCACTCCCTTGTTATTCCTCACCTTGACTATTGCAACACCCTCCTCATAGACCTAACTCCATGCAGACTATCCCTCCTTAAGTCTATAATGAATGCTGCTGCCAGACTCATCCACCTTACCAACCGTTCAATGTGCACTACCCATCTCTGCCAATCACTCCACTGGCTTCCGATTGTCCAACAAAAAAAAAATTCAAAATACTAATACACAAAGCCATTAACCAACAAACAACAGACCACCATGGTGCTCAAACTCAATAATGGAGTGATCTCAAAAACTAATGTGCACTAGCAAGGTGGAAGGGAACAAGACTAAGTAACACCTTTAACCTAAAACAAACATGCAAAACTGTGGCAAAAAGTGGAGCGGGCAGCCCATCAACTAAATGGCAAAAAGCGAACACTTCTGCTGTTTCATTGATACGGATTTCACTTGTAAACAAGAAAAGGGCGGTGAGGACAGCGCAGCCTCACGTATGTTTAACCACCTCCAGCCCGCCATATAGTAATATGATGGACGTAAGATGATTCTCTCGTTCTGCGAGGACATCATATGACGTCCTCCCATTCTGAGCACGCAGTGCGGCGATCGGCAGTGCGCTGTGTCCCTCGGACACAGCGGATCACTGATCCATGGAAACAGCCGAAGATGTCGGCTCGATGGATAGGGTACATAAAAGACATTCATTTTTAAGATCTAAAATATTTTATGTTTGTGATACATGTATATGGCAATAAGTTATGATTTTGATATTTTCTTTATTTGTGCTATACCTCAGGAGGTACACATCTAGTCCCAATTACAATTGCTGTGGTTATATCCACGCCACTCCAAAACCTCCTGCACTATAGCTACCTTGTTTCCTCCTTCCATGCTCATCTTCTGGACATATCCAGAGCCTCTCCCATCCTCTGGAACACTCTACCCCTAATCTGGCTATCTCCTACTCTGTCCACTATTATGCGATCCCTGAAAACTCATCTATTCAGGGAAGTCTCTCCTAACAATTGAATTATTTCTCCCGTCAGGTCATCCCTCACAGTTATTACCTTTGTTCCACTTGCTTCTTCCTATTAGATTGTAAGCTTTCAGAAGCCTGGCCCTCGCACTGAATTGTATTGTAACTGTACTATTTAAATCCTGAATAAGAATGATATCTGCTAGCACAGCAGTCACTTATCAGCCCCCTCACACGAATAGGAACCAAGTGGGATTTTTCAGCCCCCTCATACGAATAGGAACCAAGTGGGATTTTTCAGTACCCGAATTTCCAGAAAAAAGAAAAATGCTGCTTGCTTACTTCGTGCTTTTCTACTGTTCCCATTTACAAACCATAATCTAAGATTCTGAACAAGCTGAGCAAGTTAGGGCTGGTTCACACTATAGCAGAGAGCTGGGTTTTTCTGCATAAGAAAAATGCAGCTCTCTGCAAGGGCACACAGAAAAGAATGCTTTTCTATATGCTCTATTCACACTTTCCCACAGCTGTCATCGGCCCGTGCAGAAATCTGCAACACTGATGCACATTGCCACACCACTCTGCAGGTGACCTGTGCTAAAACGCAGAAAACCCACAGCAGGAGGAAGAGTGTCGGATGTGATCAATGCTGGGGGGCACTTACAAGCAACGATCTCCCTGTAAAGCTGTCCATGAAAGCAGCTGGAAGCTGCTTCTCCTCTACCTCCTGTGGGTTTTCAGCTGCTTTTATAGAAGGCCAGCAGATTTCCCCCTGCGCTCCTTCAGCCCTTCCTCGTCCCCCTGTAGCACTGCCAGCTTCCCTCCTCTCCTGCGGGCTGCTGCGGGGGATGTGTCAAGATGGAGACTGGCCCAGCCCCTTCCTCATCTGAATGAAGTGCGTCAGTGATCAGTAGTGTTTATTATGCTTCAGTTCGTGACTGAACAGGAGCCTCGGTCTCCTGTCCATTCATCTGCAGTGCAGCTGAGGCTACAGAGAAGAAAAAAACCAGCTAAATGCAATACAAGTTAACAAAACAAACAAAAAAAAAAAACAACTTTTATTCAAATGCAGGTAAACGAGAAAAAAAAAAACCTACAGGTAAATACAATTGTTTCTTTTGTACCTTCATTTTTTATTCATACATGTGAACTAGCCCATGTGACCCTGCGGATATTCTGTTCTGCCTCCCCCCCACTGAAACCCTTAGTAGGCCGCAGGGCAGATGCCAGTGGGCCACATGCTTGAGAACTGTGCTATAGCTTCAGTATTTTCTGGGTTACTGACCTGAAACAAGTATGCAGACAACCAATTCCAGAAGTCCTTATCTTTATGCTTGTTCTGGTTCAGTCACTCAAGTGCCGAAGAAAGGGTCTCAATCACAGCATACTAGCCAGGCAACTAACATTTACAGATGGATATATCAGCAATTGCAGCTTCAAGGTTCCCTCTGCAAAGTTATCTTTATACTACTGCAAGAACTCCACCTTTCCGCAGTTTTTTTTCATTTTTTACAAGTTTTTGTAGGTATAAAAACATGTGTGGAAAAAAAGGATGGATATAGTGGCACCTTCTATATTTACAATATTCACAGGAATAGCACACATACTGGGCATGGTCCCAAAAATCTGAAAAGGGAACTGATGCAAGGGCATACCTATTTTAAAGTTCAACCAAGCACAATATTAAATCTTTATATTCGCATGTTTTAATTTACAGGAATTGTAACATTTAGGTCATGCATTTTACAGGATTTTAAAAAGCACTGTACAAAACACAATGAGCAGATATATGAATAACGGGGTGGGGGGGGGGGGGTTGAAGGGAGATAGGTTTTCCGTTGTACATAGCAACCAGATGAATGTTTCCATTTTGTATATTCCCTAAAAACAATAGGAAACCGACTGCTATAAAATGCACATTTTCTTTTTTGAGATTTATAAATGACCCTCAAAGGGTAGCCTATATGCTAGCATACAAAAATATATACTATGGGATATTCACAAGTGTGACTTCACCTGCAGGAATCAACTAAACTAATTTTACTTGAAACAAAACATTTTGTTCAATCTTGGAGCAAGAATAAAATCAGAAAAAAATATTTGCAAAATAACCATCAAATTATAAAATTCTCATATATGGTCTGCGGTTTTCTTCATCATTCACACATTCTGCATAATTTGGTTGAAATGTCATGGACTCTCATCCCATTTTTTTCTTTCTACAGTCAGTACAAAAACTCGCAGCCAAAAAAGGACTGTCCTTTAGAGTGCAAAAGGATGAAACTTTTTTTTTTTTTTTTTTTTTTATCATCAAATATGTAACAGTAAAAAGTAACACAGTGATTGTTCATCACTTTTAATGAAAAATAACTTTAAGGAGCCATGAACATTAAATATTATTCTAAATAGTATATTAGATAGCAAGCTGCAAAATATTACTATACTAGGATTCCACACTGTGGAAATATTTTCTCCTTGACAACATAAAAAAGTGATGAAGGGCCAAGACAAGACCTCTTAGTCTATTTAAACGTCCATTTCCAACATTACAAATATACACGATAGCCCTGGGCTTTGGTAGGAGGAAAATACTTCTTAATGTCAAGGTGGTCTAGCAAAAAGCCCAAGAATGACATTGTGTAGTTTCAGAGAAGGCCAAAATTATATATATACATACACACTGGACATCCACTACAGGAGATCCAAGAAGGTAATATCCAAGATGATCTGTACAAGTAAGGAACATTTCTGTGACAAAAGGGATCTCGGGAATGACACACCGGTGACATATACCTTCTTGAAACTAAAGTGAATCCCAACACCACAACTTAGATCAAGTGCCAGGAATGACTTGTGAAAATAAAAGTCCACTGTACATGTCACGTCTAATAAAAACACATAGGGATTTGTCAGGTGGGTCCGTCCATTTCAACTTTATGTACAAGGAGGAGCACTGAACATTATTGTGAAGACAGGTGAATAGGTCATCTTCTAATGGAGTTGTACCCTGTATGCAGTAATCAGCAGCTTGACCTGTAAAGAGAGGACAAGGTTTAATACTTGGGCAACGCTATTCAAACAACTCTACTTACATTAAAGTAGGACCCTTCTATAGAGCAGAAAAACTGTTGTTCTGCTGCTGTAGCGTGAGCCCCGTTGCACTGAATCATGTATGTGAACAAAAGCAAAACAGGGCACACTCTCTTCGTGCATTAACGTAGTAAACCAAGAATTTATTGGGAAGCATAAAAATGCATACTCAGAAACCAAAGTGGTATAAAAACCGAAAAGAAGGGTCCATAATAACAGTCCAAAGTGACGGTAGACCCTTGGTGAGGTAGGCTAACGTGTTTCAGGAGACAAACTCTCTTCATCAGAGCTCTATTATGGACTCTTCTTGCCGGTTTTTATACCCCTTTGGTTTGTGAGTATGAAATTCTTGGTCTACTACGTTAATGCACGAAGAGTGCGCCCCATTTTGCTTTTGTTCACCAGTATCAAGATTTCCCGATCTTTAAGGGCTGCACCTCTACGAATTTTCAGTTATCCTTGTCTGCATAAAGATTTGAGCGCTGGTTTCGTTTGTTTAACTGGATCATGTATATATACACGTGATCCACATTTTCTGGGTAGGGAGCTTGTGTGCCTGCCACCCTGTCTGTGCTGCCATTCAAAACAGCTCAAGCCAATTATTGGGTACCAACCAATTATTTATGGCCAGGGCCAGCTCAATGAATGACAGAAGAGAGCCCTGTGTTTACTAACCACAGACAGCAGCAATGTGTCAGTCTTTTTCGCCCTGCAAAGCAGGGTGTAAAAGCAGGCACATCACTCAGTAAAAGCAGCACACATTACACACAGTAAACATTTTTAGGCATACAGTTAAGCCTTTGATTGCACCTACATGTTAACCCCTTCCCAGCCAGTGTCATTAGTCCAGTGACCGTGTATATTAGCACTGATCACTGTATTAGGTGTCACTGGAGATGTCCTTGTAATTTAGTCAGTTCGCCTGCTGCACTTACAGACATATATACAGTGCTCAGCATGAATGAGTACACCCCAACAGATTTGTCAGAAATCCTTTACTTTCCTTTCAAAATTAACATTTTCTATGGGACACTACACTACAAAATACACAAACAAATGCGGGCCATTGATTGCAAACAAGATTTGTTTATTTGCACACACAAAAAAGTATTTTTCCTAACAAATTCATTCAAGACCATGTTGCAAAAAGGAATACACCAATGAAAGTCTTAGGAACAAAGCTAAATTTTAGACAACAAAATCCTAACAAGAATTCAAATATAGGCGAGTCTAATTATTCATTAAACAGGTGTCCAGCAGACAGTTGATTATAAAAGGGTGTTACTTAAAACAAACCCCTCCCCATTTCATGCTTTCAGCAATGGCACCACATGGAAGAGAAATGTCACAAGGCCTAAGAAAATAATTTATTTACACAAGGTGAAGGCTAAACGCTTTACTTATCAGTCAGAATACTGTAGCAAAAGTGATAGACACATTTAACAAAGATGGAGCTGCAACCATCTCACAGACACATCCAGGCCGTCCATGGACGTTAACATCGACAAGAGCGTCTTCTGATGACAAGGGTTGAAGAAAATCATCATGTACAGTATCTCACAGAAGTACACCCCTCACATTTGTGTAAATATATTATCTTTTCATGTGACAACACTGAAGAAATGTACTGAGTATACAGCTTGTATAACAGTGTAAATTTGCGGTCCTCTCAAAATAACTCAACACAGCCATTAATGTCTAAACCGCTGGCAACAAAAGTGAGTACACCCCTAAGAGAAAATGTCCAAACTGGGCCCAATTAGCCATTTTCCCTCCCCGGTGTCATGTGACTCATTAGAGTTACAAGGTCTCAGGTGTGAATGGGGAGCAGGTGTGAAATTTGGTGTTATCACTCTCTCATACTGGTCACTGGAAGTTCAACATGGCACCTAATAGCAAAGAACTCTGGGGATCTGAAAAAAAGAATTGTTGCTCTACATAAAGATGGCCTAGGCTATAAGAAGATTGCCAAGACCCTGAAACTGAGCTGCAGCACAGTGGCCAAGACCATACAGCAGTATAACAGGACAAGTTCCACTCAGAACAGGCCTCGCCATGGTCGACCAAAAATAAGTTGTGCATGTGCTCAGCATCATATCCAGAGGTTGTCTTTGGGAAATAGACGTATGAGTACTGCCAGCCTTGCTGCAGAGGTTGAAGGGGTGGGGGTCAGCCTGTCAGTACTCAGACCATACGCCATACACTGCATCAATATGGTCTGCATGGCTGTCATCACAGAAGGAAGCCTCTTCTAAAGATGATGCACAAGAAAGCCTGCAAACAGTTTGCTGAAGACAAGCAGACTAAGGACATGGATTACTGGAACCATGTCCTGTGGTCTGATGAGACCAAGATAAACTTATTTGGTTCAGATGGTGTCAAGCGTATGTGGCGGCAACCAGGTGAGGAGTACAAAGACAAGTGTGTCTTGCCTACAATCAAGCATGGTGGTGGGAGTGTCATGTCTGGGGTTGCATGAGTGCTGCCGGCACTGGGTAGCTACAGTTCATTGAGGGAACCATGAATGCCAACATATACTGTGACATGCTGAAGCAGAGCATGATCCCCTCCCTTCGGAGACTGGGACGCAGGGCAGTATTCCAACATAACGACCCCAAACACACCTCCAAGATGACCACTGCTTTGCTAAAGAAGCTGAGGGTAAAGGTGTTGGACTGGCCAAGCATGTCTCCAGACCTAATCCCTATTGAGCATCTGTGGGCCATCCTCAAATGGAGGAGCGCAACGTCTCTAACATCCACCAGCTCCGTGATGTCATCATGGAGAAGTGGAAGAGGACTGCAGTGGCAACCTGTGAAGCTCTGGTGAACGCCATGCCAAAGAGGGTTAAGGCAGTGCTGGAAAATAATGGTGGCCACACAAAATATTGACACTTTTGGCCCAATTTGGACATTTTCACTTAGGGATGTACTCACTTTTGTTGCCAGTGGTTTAGACACACATTTTATATATATACAGTCATGGCCGAAATTGTTGGCACCCTTGATATTTCTCCAGGAAATCATGTATTTCTCACGAAACGTATTGCATTAACACATGTTTTGCTATACACATGTTTATTCCCTTTGTGTGTATTGGGACAAAACAAAAAAAGGGAGGAAAGAAAGCAAATTCGACATAATGTCACACAAACCTCCAAAAATGGGGCTGGACAAAAGTATTGGCACCCTTTCACAACTGCGGATAAATAAGAATGTTACAAGCATGTGATGCTCCTGTAAACTCACCTGGGGCAAGTAACAGGTGTGGGCAATATAGAAATCACACCTGAAAGCAGATAAAAAGGAGAGACGTTCACTTAACCTTTGCATTGTGTGTCTGTCTGTGCCACACTAAGCATGGACAACAGAAAGAGGAGACGAGAACTGTCTGAGGACCTGAGAACCAAAATTGTGGCAAAATATCAACAATCTCAAGGTTACAAGTCCATCTCCAGAGAACTAGATTTGCCTTTGTCCACAGTGCGCAACATTATCAAGAAGTTTGCAACCCATGGCACTGTAGCTAATCTCCCTGGTCGTGGACGGATGAGGAAAATTGATGAAAGATTGCAACGCAGAATAGTCCGGATGGTGGATAAGCAGCCCCAAACATGTTCCAAAGACATTCAAGCTGTCCTGCAGGCTCAGGGAGCATCAGTGTCAGCGCGAACTATCCTGTCAGAGGCGAATATTCGACATTTAAATGAAATGAAACGCTATGGCAGGAGACCCAGGAGGACCCCACTGCTGACACAGAGACATAAAAAAAGCAAGACTACAGTTTGCCAAAATGTACTTAAGTAAGCCAAAAGCCTTCTGGGAAAACGTCTTGTGGACAGATGAGACCAAGATAGAGCTTTTCGGTAAAGCACATCATTCTACTGTTTACCGAAAACGGAATGAGGCCTACAAAGAACAAAACACAGTACCTACGGTAAAATATGGTGGAGGTTCAATGATGTTTTGGGGTTGTTTTGCTGCCTCTGGCACTGGGTGCCTTGACTGTGTGCAAGGCATCATGAAATCTGAGGATTACCAAAGGATTTTGGGTCGCACTGTAGGGCCCAGTGTCAGAAAGCTGGGTTTGCGTCCAAGATCCTGGGTCTTCCAGCAGGACAATGACCCCAAACATACGTCAAAAAGCACTCAGAAATGGATGGCAAAGAAGCGCTGGAGAGTTCTGAAGTGGCCAGCAATGAGCCCAGATCTAAATCCCATTGAACACCTGTGGAGAGATCTTAAAATTGCTGTTTGGAAAAGGTGTCCTTCCAATAAGAGAGACCTGGAGCTGTTTGCAAAGGAAGAGTGGTCCAAAATTCCGGGTGAGAGGTGTCAGAAGCTTATTGATGGTTATAGGAAGCGACTGATTTCAGTTATGTTTTCCAAAGGGTGTGCAACCAAATATTAAGTTAAGGGTGCCAATACTTTTGTCCAGCCCATTTTTGGGGTTTTGTGTGACATTATGTCATATTTGCTTTTCTGCCTCTGTTTTATATTTGTTCCAATACATACAAAGGGAATAAAAACATGTGTATAGCAAAACATGTGTTAATGCAATACCTTTTTTGTGTGAAATACTTGATTTTCAGAAAAATATCAAGGGTGCCAACAATTTCGGCCATGACTGTATATATATATATATATATATATATATATATATATATATATATATATATATATATATATATATATATATATATATATATTTTATTTTTTTTATTTTACACACATTGTTTGTAGATGCCATATCTTTCACACAAAATATACACTTAGAGACTTTTTTTTTACCAGACATGTAGAAGAATACATTGTGGTCTAAATTTATGAAGACGTGCTTTTTTTCATTATGCTTTACAGGAGGAAAAAAAAAAAAATATTACATATAAATAAAAAACCATTTCCCTGCCCTGCCTTTCCCCCCTTATGTCTATTGATGGTCACAGCCTGATTCTTTACAACAGATAGGGTTTATAATGCCAAGGCTTGATTCCCAAGGCAACATGTACTACATTGGATGACAGACTCCTACCCCAAAAAGACTGCATACGGTCAAAAAAAAAAAAAAAAAAAAAAAAAAAAAAAAAAAAAAAAAAAAAAAAAAAAAACCCCACACGCGATTTGTTTTGTTACTCACTGTAAAATCCCATTGATGGACACAGCCTCTTTATCCATGACCAAACAGGGTTTTATAGTCCCACCTACAGGAGTAGGACACTAGGCAGAAAAAGAAAAGCACCACCTATAGGCAAGTCTTGGATAGTATAAACCCCCTCAACTTTTCCTGGCATCCCTGGATGGGAGGGCCTTCTTAGTTGTTCCCTGCAGGTTCTGCATGATAGGAGGCCCCTCCGTGGGTCTGAAAGGCCACATTGCGGCTGCCACATGCTTTACTGTGGGGTTTTTTTGGCTCATGACCTGGTTGCCATATTGTGGTGCACAAGGACAAAAGGGTGGCCATTTTATGGTGGACCTTCCTACTGGCTTGTATGGGAGCTGGCCGGAAAAGTACATGGTGGCTTTTTCCTTGAAGCCGCGCGGCAACCATGTTTCCGCTGATCTCCCTCTCAGGCTGGTACAGAGTTCCTGGGGAAGGAGGGAACGCTTTCTGAGGCACAGTTGACACAGCAGCATCCACGGCTGGCTCACGGACCACATCCACAAGCAACCGCCACGTTGGCACCCACAGAGCTCCCCTGATAGTCAGATGGTAACAAGTCCTCCCCTAGGGTACCTCCCACTTTGCTGCAGTCACAGCCTGGGGGAAGGGGATGGTGGAATTTGTTTCCCCCTGGGTGTCCTAATTCTTGGCGGTGCCTTGCCTGAGTGGGTGGCCCATACATGCATGCCGCCTCCTAATCCCCTTATGGAGGTGGTAGGTTCCTCAAGGTCCTACATCCCCCTAGACATGCAGTCAGAGTTGTTCATCTCCTGGGTGGAGGCAGTGTTCGGGCGCAAGGCGAGCAGGAAGCGCCCCCAGACGTTGGCCTCTGCTGCTGTGGGCTCTGCAGATGCCTCCTCTGATTCCTCTGACAGCGAGTTCAAGTCCTCTGCCTCTAATCTCACAGTAGGAAGCACTGGTGACCGCATGGATTACATTTGTGCGAGAGACGCTTAAAATTGAAGATTCTACTGGGGTGGCCGACAGTGTGCTTGGTATGCACAAGCTTCCTAGTGAAGGTTTTTATTTACCCAACATACTTTGATAAATTTACAAAGATTGGGAACATTCGAAGCATCCTTTTGTGGTTCCGAAGTGCTTTGTGGTACCTTAGCCCTTTGAAGAGGCCCTTCTGAAGAAGTGGACATTGCCTTCCCCCTATTTCAAGGGGGAATAAAGCAGCCGTGATATCGGTGGAGGAGTCTCCCTCCTAAAAGTATCCTGCAGACCACTGGGCAGAATGGATTGCCCGCTCTATGTTTACCATTGCGAGGTTGGCCATAGCCCTGGTGTCTCAGAAGCTTACGTTATAGGCCATGGTTCAGCAGCAAAGTCAGCCCACCTGACAAATTAATCAGGAGTATGTGATCTCGCGCACAAGTTTGTCCAGGGACTGAAGTTTGGAATGCATCCTTGGATACTCGCACCTTTCCAAGCTCTTCGTCTTGTTGCGGGGGTTCTTCAGTGGGTGCTTTGGTTCAAATGCTGGCCTGCTGACTATACTTCTAAAAAGGCCTTAGCGCATCTGCCCTTCCAGGAAGAACATCTCTTCGGTGCTACCTTGGGTGACATCAACAAGAGCCTCATGGGAGCCAAGAGTAACTTCTTCCCACAAGCCAAAAAGGGTATTGAACAAAATTGGGAGGCCCTTCCTTTACCACACACAAGAGGCTTTTTTTCCCCCCCATTCTCCTGGCTTCTCTGACAAGGGCTCCAAGCCCTTCAATGCTTCCTTGGTGGTACCAAGGAAGCGCTCCTGGATGCACAAGTCCTCAAAAACCTGCAGACAGGTCACTACAGTATGAAGGTTTGCCCCCATCTTTTTCCAGGATGGGGGGGGGGGGGTAATCTTTGCTGGTTCCCGGGTTCATGGACCTCCCTCATTCCAGGAGAGGGTCTGCGAACTGGTTGAGTCGAGCTACTGGACAGACTTTCCTTCTTATCCACCAGAGATTCTTCCCCTCCAATCTTTGCCTTCACCTGTTGCATCTTTAGAACTTGTGCAGAGCGGAACAGGATCTGCTGCTTCAGGGAGCGATACTGCCAGAACAAGAACAGTTTCAAGGGTTTTAACTCGAACTTGTTCACGGTTCCAGGAAAGGACAGGGTTCACCCAATTTTGGACCTCCCATGGCCTTGAACTGCTTTGTGCGGGTGCAGAAATTCAAGATGGAATCCATCTGTTCGGTGGTGTTTTGCCTTCATCAGGTGGATTTTCTGGTGTCCATAAACATTAAAGATACATACCTGTTCATTCCCATCTATGAGGAACAACAGTGGTTGCTTCTTCCACTGAAAAGCAAACTAAATTGTTTTGTGGGTCTCCCCTTCAAGTTGACCTCAGCCCTCCGGGTATTCTTCAAAGTACTGGCCCAAGCCCTGGCGTTCCTGAGACAACGAGAAATTGTCATTTTACAGGCTATCTGGACAATATGCACCTGTGGGCAGACTTACAGGCCACACAGACTCCCTGCAGGACTTCAGATGGGTCCTGAACCTGCCCCTACCCCGACCAGGGGGCTGAAATGTCTGGGCCAGAGTTTCGACTCAAAGCAGGCCATAGTGTGGGGGCCTGGGTCTTATGGTGTTTGCCTTCAAGGCAGTCACACATGTAGTTCTGTACAAGAGTTCTGTAGCGTGAAATCCTGTTGACATCTGTAAAGTCTCCCGCTTCCCTGGATATCCAGAATCGTCTGGGCCAGTTGATGAGGGCCTCCCTCTGCGGTGAATCCAGTCTCCTCCCCTACAGACCAGAAGTCCTTCCTCCCTCCCCCCCCCCCTCCACTGTATTATAGTCAAAACAGATGGCAGCCTCTCCAGCTGGGAAGGTGTCCTGGGTTTGAGATTGGTACTAGATCACTCAACTCTGGAGGAGGCTCGGCTGCCCATCAACGTACTGGGACTGCCAGCAATCAGGCGGTCTCTGGAGCACTGAACGGATCTTCTCCAAGGGCTACCAGGTAGCAGCCAATGGGACAATGCCACAGCAGTGGTGTGTGTCAACCACCAAGATTGAACAAGCAGTGCAACAGCAGTGCTGGAGGCATTACGCATTTTGCAATGGTCAGAACAGCACATTCTGGCTCTCTCTCTGTTGTGTACATTGCTGCTATCAAAAATTGGCAGACAGATTACCAGACAGATGAAGTGGTGGCATCGTGAGACCAGTATGGTCTCATTTATGCCTTTCATCCTCGCAAGCTGCTCCCTTGCCTACTGTGAAGGATAGAAGGGATTCTGGTCCTTCTGGTAGTTCCATACTGGCCTTGTTGTCCATGGTATGTTGAAGTGGTGCGGCTGGTCAGACACTCCCTGGCAATTGAATCTTTGAAAGGACCTCCTGTTCCAGGGTCTGGTCATGGCTATTGAAGCCGGGTTTTGAGGGACAGGGGGCTGTCAGGTTCAGTGATCCCTACAATGGTGAAGACATGCAGTCTACCTCGCGAACAATATATCGTCGCACCTGGAAGCCTTATATTGCCTGATGTGAGGCTCTGGCTATCAATCCACATTCCTTCTCAGTGGCTCCTGTTTTGGCCTTTCTCCAACAGAGGCGTTGCACAACAGTTTTCCTTGATTACCATTAAAGGCAGGTTTTTTTGCCCTTGCAGTCTTTTTCGAAGTCCCTTATCAATACACACTTTCTTTGTTATGTGGCGCCTCTTGTGTGTTCCCCTCTCTACGCTCCACCGATTAGTGTCTCCTGGGCATTTGAACCTCAGGTATCTGTGCCTCCAGTTTGCAAGGCGGCTTTGTGAAAGTCTGTGCACACTTTTAAAAAGATTTTTTGTACAAGTTGATGTGTTTGTATCTTTGGATACTTGTTTTGGCCGCATGTTTTTGCAGGCCATCATTTAGGATACATCATCTTTGGTCTGCCCACCCCTTCTTGAGACACTGCTTTGGAATGTCCCTGTGGTCAAGAATTAGAAGAGCTGTGTGTCAATGAATGTATGAGAAAACTTTTTTTGCCACACGCCATAAAATCCATTTCTTAGAGTTCATTGACGGACACAGCACCCACCCCCCCCTTTTTTTTTCAATTCTTAAAGTTAACACTGCTGACACTGTTTCGTGAATAACTGGCTTATCTATAGCAGAAAGGGGGATTATACCAGCTAGGACTGCCCATAGGCAGTGCAGGGTTTATTCTGCCTAATGTCCTAATCCTGTAGGTGGCATTTTAAACCCTGTGGATGAGCTGTGTCAGTCAGTCGAACTCACACGGTGAGCAAAAAAAAAAAAAAAATTATATATATATATATATATATATATATATATATATATATATATATATATATATATATATATATATATATATATATTTTTTTTTTTTTTTCTTTTTTTTTTTTTTTCCCCCCACACACAGGATATATTAAAGGTGTGTAGGTTTTTTTTTTTTTTTTTTTTTTTTAATTAAAATGTCAGGTTTCTGTGATGTAAAAAAAAGTAGATAATGTCTATCTATATATTTACACATACATACGAGCAAAAGGTTGGAGAATGCACTTATTTTTACAAGGTTTCATTTTCATTGAAAACCCAACTTACACATTTACAAATTGGTAAAACCTGTCCATGTACAACAACATACCTTTGCAGTTGGTACCTCAGAGAGTCTAATAAACAGTTTGTTAGGACCAGCAATGGGACTAAAGGAGTAAATAAAGTGAGCATCCTAGGAAAATTAAAAACAAAATATTAGCAACAGTAACTACAGATAGGGCAGCGCCCATATTACCTGTAATATTTAAAATAATGTAATTATAATATGCAGCACTCCAAAAACCTCTAAATAAATGCACAGTTTCTGAAAAACCAACTTCAAAATACATATCGGCACAAAGTATAATCCCTCAATGTTAAAGTTCACTAAAAATAAATTGTAACCACTTCTCACATAATGTTAACATACTCTTCTGCACACCTGAAGAGGAACTAAACGATTACTTCAACCTTGAAACACCAAAATTCTTTGGACAAATGCAACAGGATGCATTCACCTAGACCTAATGAATTCTCACCATATTTAATACAGCAATTTCATATCAAATGACCATCTAGCAGCTATATTTTTTTTTTTATAATACTGCAAAACAAAAAAATACAACATTATGGCCACTGAATGGAACAGATGATCACAAGAAACTACTGTACTAGGGCTTGTTCACACCAGGAAATCTGGGAAGTGGGGGTGGTAAAAACAGGTAGTTGAACTGCAGTTTCCAATACCTCACCTTCCTGCTAACCACCCACTTAAAAAGAACATGACACCACTCAGGACTGTATGCATGCTGCAAAGAATTATACCCCCCGTTGTGTTCTGTGGGCAGCACCACTAGCAATGTGACCCATGAATGGGGGTGTGCCACAATCGAGTAATGCATACAGTCCAGGCATTTCAGTGTTAAATCACTCTGAAAAGCAATCCTCCACAGACCACTTTTCAAAGAGGCCCTAATGGTTGTTGCCCCTCCCCCCCCCCCCCCCCCCCCCCCCCCCCCCCCCCCCCCCCCCCCCCCCCCCCCCCCCCCCCCCCCCCCCCCCCCCCCCCCCCCCCCCCCCCCCCGTGAAAACGCCCATAACATGTCAAACTCAAAAATAAACAAACCCCTTCCCTAATAAGTAATATATAGTGCCCTTTGTTTAGCTCCAAAAAGTTTATTTATAAATAAGTTACCGGTGCACCTTGCTGACACCAATAGTGCGGTGGTAATGAACTGCAGGTTCATACAGCCTCAGCACCGTTGCCACCACACTGCACATGCTCTCCTCCTTTCATAGTAAGCCATGTAGACACAGCTTACTTACATGTAACGCATCCCTGGTTACTATAGCCCAGGTTGGGAGTGTGGCTAAGTCGAAGCGTGTCACATGTCCTGTGACATTTCCTCAGCTTTTCCAGGCCCTTTCCCCAGGCTGTGCAAAGTGGCTTAGAACTGTCAGTGCAGCACTCTGATAAGGATTTTGTGTCTTGTTCTGATCTGCTAGCTTCAGCACAGTTGAGAAATCTCTATAATGTGAGCTGGATGTTCAAATGCTGTTGTTACTTGCCACTGTTAAGTCTGAACATTCAATTGACATTGCAGAACATTCTCAGCTGAACCGGAACTGAATGATCACAGACCAGGACACCCCAGTGGTGTGCTGTACAAGACTACATGCTGCCTTGTGCTCAGCAGTGAGAGCCAACAAAAGAAATTGCGAAAAGCAAAGTGATGCTGTCAGTTAAGGAGCTGATCCACTCACTAACACCTGTGGGTGGGTCAGATCCTTAACTGACAGTTCCAAACCACTTTGCACAGCCTGGCCATAAACAGAGCAAATGTTTGATTGCAGTAAAAAAAATTCCCTATGGCCAGCTTAAGCTGACAAAAGATTATAAAAGGGCCTTTGTAGGTTTTCATTCCTCTGCATCACGCAGTCTTGCCCCGGAGGTCAATCTGCCACTAGTCAAGGGTAAGCCCCGGCTGAGAATGGCTGATAAAGCATGATAGAGAGCTCCCATAGTTTATTGCAGTTATTAACGGATAACTTCACCTTTTGGGGGGGAGGAGTTTTTCTAAATGAGCGTGCAGAGCATTGCACCTACATTCAGCAGACCATGGGTTCAATATTAGGCTCCTACAGAGTAAGGATAGCTGTCTGCCTGTACCTTCCATATAGGGAGGTAGTTACCTGAGAACAGAAAATGTATTTATTTCATGTACTTCTATAGCGCAGTCAATTTATGCAGCGCTTCACATATATACAGTCAGGTCCATAAATATTGGGACATCGACACAATTCTAACATTTTTGGCTCTATACACCACCACAATGGATTTGAAATGAAACAAACAAGATGTGCTTTAACTGCAGACTGTCAGCTTTAATTTGAGGGTATTTACATCCAAATCAGGTGAACGGTGTAGGACTTACAACAGTTTGCATATGTGCCTCCCACTTGTTAAGGGACCAAAAGTAATGGGACAGAATAATAATCATAAATCAAAACGTTCACTTAATACTTGGTTGCAAATCCTTTGCAGTCAATTACAGCCTGAAGTCTGGAACGCATAGACATCACCAGACGCTGGGTTTCATCCCTGGTGATGCTCTGCCAGGCCTCTACTGCAACTGTCTTCAGTTCCTGCTTGTTCTTGGGGCATTTTCCCTTCAGTTTTGTCTTCAGCAAGTGAAATGCATGCTCAATTAGATTCAGGTCAGGTGATTGACTTGGCCATTGCATAACATTCCACTTCTTTCCCTTAAAAAAACTCTTTGGTTGCTTTTGCAGTATGCTTTGGGTCATTGGCCATCTGCACTGTGAAGCGGCGTCCAATGAGTTCTGAAGCATTTGGCTGAATATGAGCAGATAATATTGCCCGAAACACTTCAGAATTCATCCTGCTGCTTTTGTTAGCAGTCACATCAATAAATACAAGAGAACCAGTTCCATTGGCAGCCATACATGTCCACGCCATGACACTACCACCACCATGCTTCACTGATGAGGTGGTATGCTTAGGATCATGAGCAGTTCCTTTCCTTCTCCATACTCTTCTCTTCCCATCACTCTGGTACAAGGTTGATCTTGGTCTCATCTGTCCATAGGATGTTGTTCCAGAACTGTGAAGGCTTTTTTAGATGTCGTTTGGCAAACTCTAATCTGGCCTTCCTATTTTTGAGGCTCACCAATGGTTTACATCTTGTGGTGAACCCTCTGTATTCACTCTGGTGAGGTCTTCTCTTGATTGTTGACTGACACAGATACACCTACCTCCTGGAGAGTGTTCTTGATCTGGCCAACTGTTGTGAAGGGTGTTTTCTTCACCAGGGAAAGAATTCTTCGGTCATCCACCACAGTTGTTTTCCGTGGTCTTCCGGGTCTTTTGGTGTTGCTGAGCTCACCGGTGCGTTCCTTCTTTTTAAGAATGTTCCAAACAGTTGTTTTGGCCACGCCTAATGTTTTTGCTATCTCTCTGATGGGTTTGTTTTGTTTTTTCAGCCTAATGATGGCTTGCTTCACTGATCGTGACAGCTCTTTGGATCTCATCTTGAGAGTTGACAGTAACAGATTCCAAATAGCACACATGAAATGAACCTTTTATCTGCTCATTGTAATTAGGATAATGAGGGAATAACACACACCTGGCCATGGAACAGCTGAGAAGCCAATTGTCCCATTACTTTTGGTCCCTTAACAAGTGGGAGGCACATATGCAAACTGTTGTAATTCCTACACCGTTCACCTGATTTGGATGTAAATACCCTCAAATTAAAGCCGACAGTCTGCAGTTAAAGCACATCTTGTTCATTTCATATCCATTGTGGTGGTGTATAGAGCCAAAAATGTTAGAATTGTGTCGATGTCCCAATATTTATGGACAGGACTGTATATATTATACATTAATATCAGTCCCTAACCCTCAAGGGGTGTACAATCTAAGGTCCCTAGCTTACATTCATACATACACATACTAGGGACAATTTAGACAGCATCCAATTCAACTACCAGCATGTCTTTGGAGTGAACTAAGAGTACTCACCAGCGCCCTCATAGTTCTTTGCAAAATAAAACTGTGAATGAATGACAAGCCAAATGGGTGGAGCCAGACAGATGGGTAATCTGGGGGAGAAGGGGTGCATACTGAACATGTTACACCCTAAATATGGGCGTAACATGTTCAGAAAGGTGAACTTAGTGTTTTTTTAAAGGCAATGTCAGAGGTGGTTACACAATATTTATTATGTATAGAGGTGTTTTGAAGTTATTTTATAAATGGTTTAACTCAATTTAGCTCAATCCTGGTTCTATGTATTTAAATTTCTGATATGGACAATAGCCTTGCACACATTAGCCAGATAAGGACAGACCAGAAATGCAAGAGTAGATTTTAGTAACGTAACGTATGAAACCTTGTACATCAAAAGAAGTGAAAACAGTAGCCAAAAGTGGTCATATGCTGAAGGCAGATCAAGCACAATGTATATGGAGAATGAATCTCTAGATTTTGCAGGCAGAAGACCACTGGCAACTTTAGTGAAAGCTCAAATGATATTACTGCATGTGGCAGATACCATAGCTCTATGTTTACATGTTAGTGTGCATCTGTTGGTTTATAGTCCTTCCAGTGGTAACACAAGACTCCTTACCTTACATGCAACGTGTTAAATATCTGGTCACAATAAATTGAGTGCTTAAAATGTACACTACAACTGATTTAAAATGATGCATTAGTATATTGGTCTTACCAAAAATACAGGAAGCTGGAACTTGTCATTTAATACCACAGCCTGGACGCTACATGGTCCAGATAATCGAACCACCACTTCTTTACCAAAGAAGTTCGCGTGAAAAACAAACAGGAGTATTCCAGATTCTGCAAAGAGGGAAATAAGGGAATTAGCAGTTTTCCTTTCACTCATACTCAAATTAGAACACTACAGGATACACTAGCCATATGACAGCCAGCAAATTAGTACTAAAGAGTCTGAAATAGTTCGAGCCAGGCATTTACAGCCCTCTTTATTGTACTGACTACCAAACAATGGATGTCAGCAGTTATTGTTTCACACTAACCAGGGTGGTCATCTTTTAAACAGTCTTCTGCCCCGGAGGCATTTTATGACACACAAAAGGACTTTTGTTTGCTCCAAACAGGTTATGATTTCCAATACATATCCAAGGAAAACCAAAACCCACATGAAGTCAAACGAGGTCAAAAGCAAGTCAGTCTAAGGGCTCACGTACACTGCAGCTGATAAACCCATGTTCAGGAGCTGTTCAGCGTGTTTTCCAGCAGCCCCTGAACTCTCCCTGTTTTCCTATGTGTCCATGTACATAGCTTCGTTTACAGGCAGTTGAGTTTACAGTAGTTTTTTTGAACGCAGAAAACTTGCATTCAGCAGTATATTTTTATCAGCATTTCAAACACAAAAAACACTTGTAAACACGGCTAACCACGTTTATAGGCGTTTGAACTTTTTTTTTTTTTTCATTCTTCCATTTCCAGATGATGTCCAGAGCCTTTTTTCATCATGAAAAATGCAAGCAAAGTGTTTTCCCGATACTCAAATGGACCTGGTACACACCATACTTTGAGGTTTCCCATGAAAAAAAAAATGTTTGATACTGCTGCAATAATTTCTGCACAGAAATGAGCTGGAACACATCCAAACACCACAAAAATAAAAAAAAAGAAGACAGCTAATCTCAACAAAATACTGCTCTCTCTGCTTCTGCACTCTCTATTTCTCTCAAAATGTCTGAAATAGCTACTTTTTACTGTTTTTCAGTGCTTTCTTGGCATTTGGAAGGTCTCCTGAGATTATCTTAAAAAAACGCTTCTAAACAGCAAACACTCAAACGCGGTATGCAAACTCAGCCAAACAGACTTTTTTTAATTTACGTTTTCCAGCAGTCAGTTGCCATTGTTCAGCAGTGTCCTGTGTACATGGCGCCGAAGTCTGAATAATTTCCGAAACACCTCAAAACAGATGTCAAACTGAAGCCAATGATACAAGCCCAATGTCTGTTGACACAGGACCTAACTCAAAGATGTCATCAATCACCCTGCAAATTTTTTTCTAGCCTTTCCAGTTTGAAAGTCAACAGGCTTTTAGGCTGGTTCGGGCTACATTTGATATTGAGCAAGTGCATGTTCTCCAGCAGTTCTATCTGCTTTAATGGCATCCCAACAAACCTCAACACAAAAAAAAAAAAAAAAAAAAACTGTAGTGTGAACAAGCACTTAATCCTTGAATACAAAATAAGCAGAACTTTGGGGATCACAAAACCTTGAATACTTGTTCATGGATCGCACATAAACCAAGGAAAGGAAAGCAAACTAAAATGAACCAGCACCCAAGTACACCCCTACAATAGCCACATTTATGCATTTACTTTAGTATTCTTTCAAATATCAGAGCTGACATATGAAAAATTGCAAATAATTTTTATCAAAAACCAGCATATGCAATAACATATGACAGATGACAGCACTCATGCAGCCCCTGACCATGACACTCCCACCACCACCATGCTTGACTGTAGGTAAGACACACTTGCCTTTGTACTCCTCACATGGTTGCCACCACACACGCCTGACACCATCTGAACTGAATAAGTTTATCTTGGTCTCATCAGACCACAGGACACGTTCCAGTAATTCATATCCTTAGTCTGCTTGTCTTCAGCAAACCGTTCGCTGGCTCTCTTGTGCATCATCTTTAGAAGAGGCTTCCTTCTGGGACAACAGTCATGCAGACAAATTTGATGCAGTGTGCGGCGTATGGTATGAGCACTGACAGGCTGACCCCCCCACCCCTTCAACCTCTGCAGCAATGCTGGCAGCACTCGTACGTCTATTTCCCAAAGACAACCTCTGGATATGACGCTGAGCATGTGCACTCAACTTCTTTGGTCGACTATGGCGAGGCCTGTTCTGAGTGGAACCTGTCCTGTTAAACCGCTGGTTGGTCTTGGCCACCGTGCTGCAGCTCATATTCAGAGTCTTGGCAAGCGTCTTATAGCCTAGGCCATCTTTATGTAGAGCAACAATTATTTTTTTCAGATCCTCAGAGTTCTTTGCCATGAGCTGCCATGTTGAACTTCCAGTGATCAGTATGAGAGCGGTAACACCAAATTTAACACATCTGCTCCCCATTCACACCTGAGACCTTGTAACACGAACAAGTCACATGACACTGGGGAGGGAATACGGCTAACTGGGCCCAATTTGGACATTTTCACTTAGGGGTGTACTCACTTTTGTTGCCAGCGGTTTAGACATTAATGGCTGTGTGTTGAGTTATTTGAGAGGGACAGCAAGTTTACAGTTATACAAGCTGTACACTCACTACTTTATATTGTAGCAAAGTGTCATTTCTTCAGTGCTGTCACATGAAAAGATATAATAAAATATTTACAAAAACGTGAGGGGTGTACTCACTTCTGTGACATACGGTATGTGGATATTGGTCCCATGTGAGACAGAAGCTTAGGTTCTTGTTGCAAACCAACAAAATTAAAAGCACAAGGCTCCAGACATTACCCCAGTGGTGGAGGAATCAGCTTTAGAGCAATCTACCCATTCTAAAACTATCTTACGGATTTAAAGTTTTTGTCAACAGTAAGCAGGGGGTCACACTGGATCATCAGCACATTTAATAGATCCCCTATCAAATGGAAAAGTTCCACCACATTCTCAAGTAAAGGCCCAGGACCTATCTAGAGGTTTCCAGTCTGCAAAAAGAAATTACTTTAATGACTTTAGTGACCATAAACCCACAAACTTAACTGTATCGGATGCCATGAATACCTGTTCTACTTACTTATGCTTTCAACCTGTCAAACCATCTGGTGACAAAACTGATCACATGTGCAATACCATGGCAACCGCAGATCAAACAGAATCCAAGAAGGCAGTTTCTGTGGCAGTAAAGAATAGGAAGATTTCGTTCTCTTTAAAAGCATTAACACCATCGTATGCATATACATGTATATATGTATACGGCCTGGTACTGAATCAGTTATACCAGAATCATGGTTGAAGCTACAACCATGACCCCGGCATCATATTTTTAGGGCCAGCAATTCTCTTCTTTGTATAAGAAATCCAAGTGGCTATGCAGCCGCTGGATTACTTTTACAGGCGGGAGGGGGAGCCCAGCGGTGTAGACTCCCCCAAACACAGTAGGAGGAACGGATGTTGTTCGTTTCACTGTGTGACATCAGAAAACCCCAGAAGTGATGAGGATTTTGTCATTTCAGGTTTGTTTACAGTTGCTTACAGCTTCTGAACCAGCAGATAAAACCGATCTTGCTTTGATCTGCTGCTCTGGCTAGAGGAGAGATCTGGGGTCTATCTCCATAAAATATGAGCTGTCACAAGGGATGTTTGTCCCTTCTGATAGCAATAAAATTGATTTGAAAAATAAATTTAAAAAAAGGGTACAGGGTTAAAAAAAAATATATATATAATAATAATCAATAATAATCATAATATATATATATATATATATATATATATACACACACACACACACACACACACACACACACACATACATATATATACACATATATATACATACACACACTTTTTTTTTTTAATGCATCCCCATGCTAAGGCGAATGCATGCATTGTTCCCGCACGCATATGTAACACAGCGATTGCACCACATGTGAGGTATCACCACAGACATAAGAGAACAATAATTCTAAGGCCAGACCTCTTGTGTAATGCTAAACTGGTAACCTGTAAAGGCTTTTAAAAGCATCGCCTATGGATAATTTTATGTACTGTAGTTTGTCACCATTTTAAAGAATGACATGTTTGGTATCCATTTACTCAGCGTAACATCTTTTATATTACCATAATTGAGTAGTAACAATCCCTGTAAATCTGAGTCAAAGTCAGGAGACTGTGGTGCATACAAAACAGTATCTTTAGAGATAAATTGTTGGGACTCCGAGTCTAGGTAACAAATAGCAACATGCACTATGTAATGAGATCCACACACAGGAATTACATATGATTAATGCCACCCAGATGCATATAAAAACATTCACCAAATGCACAAAATTAATGCAAATAATGAATACAAAATTGTTAGAGTATCTGGCCACCAGTATATTACTTCACCCCCTGGGAAGACACAGATGTATACGGGAACACCAGCATCCAAATCCGCTATACAATAAATAGTCCCCTTTAACCCTATATGACTGTTAAAGGGGACTATTTATTGTATAGCAGATTTGGACACTGGGGTTCCCGTATACGACAAATAGCAACAGGCCCAGTTCAATTCAAAAGCTCAAAGGTGTCCAAGTTAGACTCTGCAGGGTGTGGCACTGGGGTTCACTAAGAAGAATGCTACACAAGCTGAGCTCAAAACCACTGGGAAATTCAGAGTAGACATAGTAACCAACTCCAAAAACACTAGGCAAGTACAGGTTGAGGTCATTTGTGGCAGCATGACTGTACTCTGCATGTTTTTGGGAAGACATAGTGCGTCTGTAAATCTGTAATGCAACTAGGCCCAAAGTGAGGCAAGACCTCTAATACTCACAAACCAGGGGAGCTGGCTGGAACTTATGAGGCGGCGTTAGTGTAGGTGGGCAATAGAACCAGACTGGAGATCCACAATCAACGAGAACAGTCTTACTCACCAAATAAGTGTTCTTTGACAGAATCACATTCCAGTCTAATGCAGGCCATAGATGGGTCGAAAAAATCGGCCGATTTTTCGGCCGAAAATAAAATCGGCCGCTTTTCGGATCGTTAGTGGGCGATTTGGTCGGCCGTTTTTCGGTATTTTGGCCGTTTTTTTTTTTTCGGTAAAGTTGGAAAAAAAAATCGGCCGATTTTGCCGA